TCACTATAACTCATTATTCCTCACGATTCAGATCCATGCCATAACAGAGCTGTGAGTGTTTTTTCATCCCATCCCCCAAGATAAAACACCCCCATGGTTATATAGATATGGTTAGTGGGTTCCAAATATGTGGTGTCATCCCCTACTAAAGCATGGTTTCTGTTCAATATTAAGGGGAATGGATTACGTTTGGTTCATATCCTGCTTGTTTTAGATATGGTGTCAGCTGAATCTGCCAGGATTATCGGCAGCAACACATAGATTGATGACAAAATTGGGAACGGAATTCCGCCCCCTTTATTTGAATACCCGAAATCCGAAGAACAAATTGCCTGTTGATTTTAAGTGTGCGTCCCAAATCTAGTTGGGGTATGGAAGCAGTCCACTTGAGGTGTGCCCTTCTGCATGTTGCAAACCCAATAGGTTTGGGGATATATTCCGCGTCCGCCAAGCAGCATATGCTGTTGGATTTCACGGCGAAACTGCATATATTGCTGCGTGCTGGGCTTGTCCCCCACCAAAAGTAGATAGGCCACCTGAACAGCAACACAGAGCCATGGACCATGGAATCTACGGTTTTTCACACCGAAAAACTGGATGTTTGTCCCCTGGTCATATGGTGTAATAGGCTTCGACCCCCAAATGTGATGGCAACTGAGAGGGAGAGCTCACCCCAAAAATCGACCATAGGGCCCCAACAAAAGCGTTTAAAACATGATGAACAGGTTTTTGATATGCGCACATGAGCCATGTGTCAAAGTTATTGGATATATATCCAATAGCGTTGTGTTGGAGATGTTCCCAAAAGTGACTGGGCAATAATGATGAGACATTCCAATACCCCCAACTGCGAATGGCTAACAATTATTGGCCCAACGGTCAAAATGGATGGCTCACCAAGCGAGGCAGCCATATGTCACCACCAGCGTCAGAATTTTCGGTAGTTACTCTCGACATTGCCGCAGTGTGCCAGCTGGTCTGAAGATATGTCGCGACAGTCGAATTCCAAAGGCATTCACCAACCTCGAGATGTGCCATCAGAGCGTCGGGGACGAACACAGCGATAGGCCCAGCGAGTCTCATATGCGGCACCAATGAGCCTATGGTGTTCCATCGTGAAGAAAGCCTGGACAGGGAATTGGCTTCCCAGCAAGAAGTTGAGGTTGGCAGTTGGCACCATTCTCTTGTGTGAGTGCCGCAAGAAGCTTCAAAGCCTGGATCTGATCTTTGGTCGTCGTGTAGAAAGTCAACTTTTCATATCTCTTGAGAGACGCCAATGGATTTTTTCCATGGCGAAATCCTCATACAGTAATTTGATGTAATTTGTCTATATGGTTTTGTTGTTTAAATCCCCATCACAACTATCATGTGGTGAAGCTCTGAATGTAGCTTCCTCAATGAATCTTGGTTCCAATCCCCCACCTAATCATCAACCAGCATTCATCACTTGTAGCACTTATAACTTATAACTAAGTTCCCCGAAATAATCATTTAACATATAGATGTGGAAAACTTTTGGAAAACTATGATTTCCCGTTTTCTTTAAACATGGTTTCCATAGGTTTTCTACATATTTTTGCTGTGTTGTCCACATCTGTTTAAGTCTGTACAGCAAGGTACCTCCAGCGCTTCGGCCGACTCCACCAACTCCGGCACCGCAAAGCCGCGGTAGAGACAAACGCCCTAGGCGGTGCGCCAAAATGTGAGCGAAATTGGCTTAGTTTAGTAGTATATTTCACTTGGTTTTTGCTAGATATAATTAGTATATAATTAATATTTATTGATCATTATGATATATTATATCTATAAAACTTGAAACTTAAGAAACTTAGTCTGGGACTCACTCCTCTTTCTATTCACCAATGTACATTGCTTTCCCCAGGCCGCGTGTATATTCAGAACGTACGCCACCAGCACCCCCAGACTGCCACCAGCACATAATAATACATAATATATATATATATCATATATTTGGTTGCAAAATGGAGAAGTTCTCTTCAATCTTGAAGATCAGTGATCACGAAAAAAAACAAGACCAAGAACGGGGGATCTGAACAACAAACACCGGCACAATAGCAAACAATAGGTTCCGTTAATGAAAATGATACGATAAAAAAGGGAAGGGGGAGGGAGTGGAGGTGTCCAACAAACAGGTGCGAACCACCCAATGAACAACAACAGGCGGATGTTTCTCCGAGCATCAGGAAACCACATCAATCTTCCAAAAAGTAGGGCAATACCGAAGCTATGTCAGAAATACCCTCTGGTAAACATTTGCATATTACAGAACTATGGAAAATCACCAAGTTTAATGGGTAAATCCACTATAAATGGTCATTTTCAAAAGCAAACTGTTAGTCATTACATGTCATTAACAGAGGGTCTGAACCCTTGGAGGACCATCCCACCAGGTCCGACGCCTTGGGACCATCGATAAAGGTGATCCCCGAGAGGCATGAGCCCGTGCACGTGAAGCCCGGGTCGTAGGAGAAATATCCCG